GGGGCACCACTGACGTCGAAAGCAACAGGATTAGTGCCTGGGAGGTGGTCGGCACAGGGTCCTGAGAGTCTCCAGTCTGGTGAAGTCACTGCCGCTCTTAAAACCTGTTGCTTCACTAATCTTCCTTCCTCACTGGTCCTTCCTCTAGGCCACCTCCTACCCCAGCACCGGTAAGAATAAATATTCAAGTGAAGGCAGCAGTGACCCACTTATTATCAGATGCCACAGTCCCAGGGTACAGTTGGCTGACGCTGAAAGAATAGAGACCACGGCAGGGGAAGAAGTGTCCTTGGGAAGAGGCACTAATTCCAACACTACTTGAGTGCCCAGGAAAAGCTGGCCTTGCTATCTAGGAGCGAGGGGTACCAAGGCAGATGGGGCATTGATTGAGTCGGTGACAATGATGGGCAGACCTGCAAAGGCGCTCACTCACCAGGGACCACTCTTGGCCGTTTCACCCCAACCGCCTGCAAACGTCAGGCTCCCAGGGCTGAGAACAAGTGCTCTGTGCCCTGGCCTGTGCATGGCAGTGGGGGCTGCCCCCAAAGCAGAGCCCACAGAACTGAGTCTTGGGCAAATGGAGCAAGTCTGTGTCACCAGGGCAGGACAGAGGTGAGAGGCCAAAGAGTCTGCTTCAGCTCCGGGATTCCAGAAAGCCCTCATCTCTGAGTCAGTTTTCCCTGCTGTGAAATGGGATGATGCTGTGTACTTTACTGTGTGTCTGGGAGTCAAAAGTCACTGGTACATGCTACACCGAAACAAGGTAAACCATGGGGGGGCGGGGCATTCACGCATGTAAGGCACTGCCATACGGGCACATCAGTCCATCTGCACCCTCACAAAAAGGATATTTTCTCCTTGAGTGGTACTATTTTAGGAGGAAACCATTTGGTTTTGAAATGGGGACTGCACACCGTTTTAAGTGTTGCAAACAGACAAAGGCCAGTGTTGCCATGTGAGAGGGAGTCAAGATGGAATCCTGGCAGAGGGAGAGAGAACAGGGCTGTCGCAAAGGCCTGGAAGGATCCTTCTGGTGTAACTGGGAGCTTAAATCTCAGGCTGACCTAGCCCTCTAGGAAGAGGCCAGCAGACAGAAATCCCCCTGGCCCTCCACTTCTTCAAGGGGGCGTGTGGAGGGAGCTTGGGAAGGACTGTCTCTGTCACAGGGGGTGGCAGGGCACTAGCCAGGCACATGCAGGCCATATCCCTCTCTGAAGTCACCTGTGCCCTGGAGGTGGATCTCACAGCTCCTGTGTTCAAGGCAGGACAGGCAGCCAGGGTGACCTTGTCCTGTCCCAGGGCAGCCAACAAGGGGCCCCCTGCTCAACACGGCCAGTTTGCGACCGGGTTTCCAGCCAGGATAAGCTCCGCTCTGCCATCTGCACTCCCAGCTCTGTTCGGTGGGGCCTGCAGGGCCACCTGCGACCCAGTAGCATCTGTCCACCTGTGAGCGGTAGATGCCGCTTGCAGCTCACTCTTCCTAACGGTGAGAGGCTTTCAGCACTTGGGAGTCCCCACTGTCACCTCTGACACTGCTTCCCTCTGACTCTCTCTAGGAGGAGGGATGGGTCTAGGCAGGGGACAGGAATATTGGCTGGCAGGTGATGCAGGAATGAGGAAGTGCAACAAAGCTGCTGTGCAGTGCCCTCAATCCCAGAGGAGAGTGACACACGCCGCGTCCCAGACACTTGGGACAAATGGAAGTCCCAAACGGAACTGGTTCACACACAATCCTATCACCTCACCAGGGGTCCCTGGCTCCTTCGTGCTGTAGAGGAAGGAATGAAATGCCAACTTCTGACTGTGTTGCCTACCAATGCCGGAGAAACTGCAGAAAGAATCCTGAGATGCTCCCCAGCCTGGAGGCAAGGTTACCTGTTTGAAAGAGCTGGAGCATCTCACACGTTCCCATTTGATTTTTCAAAAGAGCAGGAGGGATGAGTGGGGGGTGGGGGGAGGCCTGAGAATCCAAGGCCAGCTGAGAGCAGATCCTGATGATAATCTCCATGGGCCCTAATAACAGGGTCCAGGTCACTGCAGCCTCCAGCTGCAATGGCCTGCTGGGACACCCCAGAGAGCCCACTGAAGCAGCAGTGACTCAGGGGACCTCTGCCCCATGGCACCCTGCTCTGTGGCTCCTCCAGAGAGGGAGAGGGAGAAGGTGACTCATATCAGCTGCACTGGGAAGCACAGGATGTGGATGAGGGTCGTCAGGTGCAAAGAGGGGGGTTGGAATTTTCCACTGGTGAAGGTCAAGGCTTTTTTTGTAGGTAACCATGATGCTACACACAGGCCAGCCCTGGAGACAGTTACTACAGCAAGGATTCTCACCGTGCATGTGTGTCTCACGAGCATTCCTGGGAAGACACGGAAGAAATCACTTCCGGACGACTTTCTGAAATAAAAGTCTGTATCTCTGTCCCCCAGAACCTACCGCTGCAGAATGGCAATGAAGAAGAGATTATTAGTAGGCCCCTTTTAAAAATGCGGGTTGGGTATGGGCATCATGTACCTGAGACAAACAAGATCTGTGTGCAGGGTAGGGAGGTGCTTTCAATCCTCCCCCAACCTGCTTGCTGCCTTGCTGAACATTTTGAGTGAAGTCTGGCTGGCAGCAAAATCAGAAACAGCTTGTGGTAAGAGGCAGCATGGCGTCTCTAGAAGGGATGGACAATCTTCTGAAACAGAATGACCAGGGGGCAGGGGGGAAGGACAGCCCTCCTCCTCTGGAGCCCAAGAGGCCACTTGCTGGAAGCTAGCTCCCCTGACCTTTCCAAATATGCACAGGGATAAGCCCTGCAGGCCAGAGTTGGGAGGGAAGATGCTGTCCTCACTCAAAGGAGAGCTTAGGACTGAGGGAGAAAACACATCTTTGCCAACCCCTTCCTCCAGTCACTTTGCCCCTTCCAACTCACTGAGGGAGGGGAAGGGCCTGCAGAGCGATGAAAGCACGAGTTTGGGGTCACGGGAATAGCAGGCTACTGTTCTGCAGAACCTCACACCCTGGGAGCCACATGCAAAACTGAGAAGTGACTTCTGAGACAATACCAAGGCCCATCTGCCTTGACTTCTCCAAACTGGATAGAAGAGCCCATGCAAACCAAAAGCCTTCTGAGCAAACAGAAGCCCCCAGCAGGGGGTCGGGTGTGGGGAAGGATACAGTCACTGGCCCAGAAAGAGAAGGCTCTTGTGGGTAGCCAGGGTCTCCACTCCTGTTCTGTAGCCTCTGCTTCCTGTTTTCGTGGCTTTCTGCAGGCTCTGATGACAATTAGCTCTATGAGTTATACGTGCAATATCTGGGCGATGAAGGCAGTAATTAATGCCCGTCTGCTTTCCTGAAGGGTTCCTTCTGTTCAGTCAGTTACTGAGATCCAGGGAGAGAGGCTTCCATCATGTGGAAGGTTTATAGGAATCAGTGAGGGAACCATTTAACAAGGCAAGAATAACGCTTCTAAATAATTTATCAGGCAAATGGCAGCAGCCAATATTCCCAGCGCATAGTATCTGTTTTGCTGGTGGGTGGGGAGTGTGGCCGGCAGGGTCTTTAGATTCCAGCTGCCTCCCCAGCAAAGACCCACTGGACTGGCTGTGCTGTGGCTGCTCTGCCCTGACATGCCACCGTGTCTGTGTGAGCTGCTCAAACCCTGTCCTCCATCACCTCCTTCTGCCCATCTACCCTGCTAGAGATCCAGATGGGGACTTTCACTTACTAATACCTTTGCTAATTTTGTCAGTCATGGTTTGTTGAGTGCTAAGAGGCTAACGAGCCTCAGCTGTGCTGCTAGTGCCTGGGTTCTCCCCTCTGGCTGCCATGCTGGTTCCTGCTCCAGCCCCAAGGCTGGGGAACATGGAGAGGGTGCTAGACAATCAACCTGCTACCAAATTCCCACCAGATGTGTGACGGAGGGTTCAGATGCAGTTCTGCTAAAAGACGAACTGCTGGCCACAGCTGAACGTGCAGGAGAAGAAACACAGACCATTAACCGATCGCCCCCGAGATGCAGAGAGGAAAACCAACTCTTGCGTGGCCCAGGCCACAGAGTTCCTGCAGTAGGTCTGTAGAGTGGGACTAGGAGGGCAAGAAAAACCACTCAGTGGCCCCTTGGGGTGAACAAATCCAGACCCAAATAGCCCGCAGGGCCTGTGGAAACCTTTACTCAGATAGGGATAATGAAGTCAGGAGGCCAGCTCCCTGAAAAGCTTGGCTCTCTCTTGGTCCCTGCCTCCCCGCTCCAAATCAGCCAAGTGGCCACGTGTCAAACTGTGTCACCTGGCACACCTAAATTTATGTCAGGGCTGAGGAGGACCAAGAGGAAGCAGATAATATTAATAGATACTGCAACAGTTAAAGAAAAACATTTCTGAGCCCTGCCCCCAGAGTAGGCAGAGATAAATAACCGTCTCTGGTTTTGGATCTTATTATCCAGGACCTGTCTGGCATATTATTCGGCTCCCTGCCCCCCATAATGGCACAAAGCAATCAAGAATGAGCCTGGAGATTCATCATATTCTCTTGTCCACTGGGAAGATGAAAGGAGAATGAAAGATAGGAAGAGAGTTGGGAGGATCCTTTCTTATCTGGAGAGGATGTTTATGGCTAGACCCAGCATGGAACCATATGCTCTTGGGCTGCCCAGGAGTAAGGTCAAAATATGGAAGTTTCTGGAAAATAAGATCTGGCACTCTTGGAGAACTCTGCTGAGAGTGGCCCTAGAGCCTGAGCTAGGTTTACAACAGTCACAGTCTTGAATCTGGTGGCTATGACCTGAGTGCCTACTCCAAACCACGCTTGACTTTGAGACCCGCTGCCAGGAGCCTCGGGGGCTAGACTCTCAGTGATGCAATCCATTTCTGCCTGGGGCCAAGGTCCCAGTGCTTAGCCAGAGTGTGGAGAAGGGTAGACCCTCCTTTCTAGGGATAGGGGTCTACCAGGCTGAAGGAAGTAAAGGCACTTCAGATGCCCTCAGCTGCCCAGGCTGGGATGGGGCACAGACACTTACCAAGTAGATGTGGTAGGCGTCCACACGGCGCAGGGGCCCCCAGCACCGGTCAGTGTCGTTGTATTTGGTATCCGCCTCCACACCGCAGGAGTCATTGCCAGTGGTGCTGCTGATAAAGAGAATGACAGCAGGCCCAGGCTCAGCAAGGCCACTTGGCTTGGCTAGGGGAGACAGAAGCCACTCCCTGCACAGCTGCCTGAGCACCAACAATAAGACTTCTCACAAACCACATTGAGAGATGCATCTCTGAGGACGCACCCTCCTTATTTCTGCAGCACCATTTCCCAACGACTTAGGAACCCTTGGTGGGAGCCCAGTGGGGCAGGGAAGGGGACAGTGACATGAGCTAAGGACAGACAGCACGGCTGGCCGTGGTCTGTGCAGAAAAGGGCCTGGGCATCTGCCTTCCCTAGATGCAATGAAGTCACTCAGCATGGTGCTTGTCCCCTGGACACTCTGCCCTGACTGGCTGAGGAAGCCCCTTTGGCTACAGTCAGCCTGGGGGTCGGGGGGAACTCACCAAGTCACCTGCATGAGGGAGAAGGGCACGGCAGCAGCATAGATGGCGAGGTCCCCATACAGGTAAACGATGATGCAGAAATAGAACAAGTTGACCCCCACTGAAAGGAACACAGCCATCAGTCAGGGAGCCACAAAGAGATGTCTGCATTTTTTTTTTTGACTAGATCTCTACCTCTCCTATAGCTTTCACTTCTCCAAGCTGTTTACTTTCTATAAAAAGTGGGAAAATGACCCCAAAGTCCTATTTCTTTTTCTAGTTGGCTACACTGTGATGCTGACAGGAGATAGATCAGCTCATGACTTTCACCTGACAGGGCTCAGCGAGGCTGGGAGGATCAGAGAGATTTTGAAGCCAGACAGGTGTACGGTGAGTGTGAAGCTTGGCATGGCCAGGGAGGAACCAGATGTGCCTTCATGCTTGGGACAGGCTTTGGGAGGGAGGAGGGGTGCCTAGTCAGGAGCCTGAACCCCTGAGCGCAATTGGGCTGGGGGCCCCCTCCGGTGTCAGACAATACCAGGCTATAAGACAAGAGATTGCTACTGAAGAGCTGAAGCAAAGAGAAGTTGACGGAAACAGCCCAGCTCTCTGAAGCTGAGATCCAAAGGGTAAAAAGCCCTTGATTTCCAAAGGCCAAGTGCCTCATTCTGAATCTGACTGATCGCAAGCACACGGTGGCCTGGTGTTCTGCGGGGGACGGTGCTCAAGACAGGCTCCCTTTCCTTCATATGGGAAGCACTCCCGAGGGACAGTGCTGACTCTGGAAGGTATGTGACTCTGACACTCCCGCTGCAGAGGCCACATTTGTCCCCTCTCACTCCAGCAGGAGGCTGAACAAGAAGTTGGGAACACAGGGCTCTAGTCCTGATTCCATCAGACTTGTTTCAGGACCCCGGCAAGTTGTCTCCTAACCCATGACGGGGAGAAGAATCCCACCTGGCCATCTTCCATAAATGATTCCAGCTAGAAAGGTCAGGTACAAGGGCTCTGAAAAGAGCGGCAGGGCCCTACGACCTAAGGGTTACTGCCCAGACAACTGGTCTCCACCCCTGCTCAGACTGATGCTCACGTTTTTAATGTCACTGGTCTCAAGCTGCTGGCTCCTCTGAGAACATAAAGAAAAATGAAGTGACAGTTCCCTTCTAATCCTGGTGGCTCAGAAGAGCCTGCAGGGTCCTCAAGGGAAAGCCTAGGACATGTTACTCCTGGGCCATGTGAGGTCAGCTCTGTTCCTAGGAGTCTGGGGGGAAAAGGCTAAGAAAACATGATTCTCGAGGGGACCCAGGAGGGTCTCGGTGCCTACTTTTTGAATATGGCATGTCCTTCCCTGGCATGTCAGAGCTAGCCTGACATCCAAGCTTAGTGGCCTTTGGGGTTGGCCTGTCACTCAGGCCCAGGCTCCAGGTACAGCCTGCACTCCAGCTTGCATTCAGCTCTGAGAGGACACATTGTCCCCCGTCTCACTCCCAGCCTTTCCTCCACCTGCCAATGGACTCTGGCATCAGCTCTGTTTACAAACTGCCATTGGCCCTCCCTGATCAATACATTTCATTACTAGACACAAAATAAGAGGATCAATGAACTTCCTGAGAGGACATCAATGGCTAGGCCTGCATTTCTGATTATAAGAAATGAGCTGGGACCCTAAGGGAGCCTCCTACAGAGGGGGCAGCCCCACCAAGGGCGAAGATGACAATCTGACAGTCTGTGAATCAGGAACAAGGCAGAATGGAGGTTTTCAGCTGGGGTGATTTTGCCTCCTAGACTCTACTGGGAACATCTGACAACATCTGAAGACAGTTTTGACTGTTGTAACTGTGAGGTGCTACTGGCAACTAGTGGGCAGGCACAGAACCCTACCACACACAGAACAGGCCCACAAAGAGAAATTCCCCCACCCAAACATCAATAGGGCTAAGCCTGAGAAACTCTGGGGTAGGGAAGGAGACTCCCTCTAAGTGTGAGGCTGGTCTCAGACACATATCTTTATTTTCTATTAGATTTAGGCAAATTAGGAGTCTACTCTGTGATGGGGAGAAAAAAGGTAAAACCGCTGGTTCCTAGAATCTTAAAGAAATCAGGGCAGATTGCAGAACATGAACTTGAGAAAGGAGGTTTAAAAGGCATATGTACTCCCTCCAGTGTGCACTTTATTTTAAAGACTGCGTTTGGAAGGGGACTTTACATGGCTGCCAGGAGGAGATGCTTACACCTTGCTCAGGCTGGTGAGATGGAAGGGATAGAAATGGAACAAAGGAGAAGCACAGAAGCGGGCTGAACCAGCCGGTTGGTTTTGATGAATTCTGAAAGCTTTCTGTGAGGCCAGTCCAGCAGGGAGGGTGAACTGGGCCCTTGGGCGGCCTTTGGCTGATAATCACATCGCCCCACCAATAACCAACTAAATGCTTAATGTCCTAAAGAGCAGTCAAGGAGATTCTAGCTCCTGCAGTCCCCCAGCTCTAAGTTAAGTGCAGCTACATTTAAGACTAGAAAGAACTGGTGGGGCAGCCCATTCAACAAATGGGGCTTTGACAAAGGGGCAGAAAATCTTCCAAGACAGTTGCAAGGGGAAGGATGAACTGAGAATGTGTTTGACTCAATGAAACAGAAATAAGATCTGGGCACATTAAAAACTCAACTCTTTTCTCTCGTTCTCTTTGTTTTTTGAGACAAGGTTTCGCTCTGTCACCCAGGCTGGAGTGCAGTGGTGTGATCTCGGTTCACCACAACCTCTGTCTCCCGGGTTCATGTGATTCTTGTGTCTCAGCCTCTGGAGTAGCTGGGACCACAGGTGTGTACCACCATGCATGGCTAATTTTCACATTTTTAATAGAGACGGGGTTTCACCATGTTCACCAGGCTGGTCTCCAACTCCTGGTCTCAGGTGATCTGCCTGCCTTGGTCTCCCGAAGTGCTGGGATTACAGGCATGAGCCACCGTGCCCAGCCACTAAACTCTTAAATAGCTCATCTTCCAAAAGAACAAGCTTTGCCATGGAGGTATAAGATGTCACTGGAACACCCAACAACCCAACCCTGGAATTGGGTAGCTCGCTTTTGACTGCAGCCAGATCCCAGGAAGGAGCAGGTTCACCACCACACTCCAGGGCTCTCAGCCCACTCGGCCAGCCTGGGTGTGGGCTCCTAGCGCCCTCTGCCGGCCACTGGGAAGCCAGGCCCAGGCGTGCGTGTGGCAGATCCTATTGCTGTCAGGTGTTATTCCAGACAGAATCAGCCAGAAGAGGGCAAGGTCAGAGGCAATCAAGCAGGAGGTGCAAACCACAAGCCGGCCTCCATCAGCTTCCTTTGCAGGAAAAGGAAAAGCTTTCTTTGTAGCTGCCTGGGGTTCCTGATCCCCGCTGGAGTAGCTGCCTGGGGTTCCTGACTCTTGATGGAGTAGCTGCCTGGGGTCCCCGACTTTTGCTGGAGTAGCTGCCTGCGGTCCCCGACCTCCGCTGGAGTAGCTGCCTGGGGCCCCCGACCTTTGCTGGAGTAGCTGCCTGGGGTCCCCGACCTTTGCTGGAGTAGCTGCCTGGGGTCCCCGACCTCCGCTGGAGTAGCTGCCTGGGGCCCCCGACCTCCGCTGGAGTAGCTGCCTGGGGCCCCCGACCTCCGCTGGAGTAGCTGCCTGCGTTTCTGACCTCTGCTGGAGTAGCTGCCTTGGGTTCTTGACTTCTGCTAGAGAAGCCACCTCTTTATTTTGAATGCCCACAGACAGGGAGGAATCCAGGAAAACAGGTCAGCGAAGTGGCTTCTCAGGTGCTGAGGAAGCAGCTCCTCCATCTGCACTGCCCCTGGCCTGGCCGTCAGGGTGGAACCCTCATTATAGGGGCACAGGTCCACAGGGAAGCACCAGCTCCCTGTTTCCCCACACCCCACCCCCAAAAGAACTTCTACCTTTACTGAAGAACATGGAGGCCATTTGTCCCATTTCCACACGGTCTGTGATTTCAAACAGGTTGGGAGATCCACGTCTCTCTGTGGAGTGAAAAGAACAAGGAAGAGGAAGTGGTTCTTCACATGGAGAGCTTCAAAGGTTGGTGTGGACCTCATTGAATCATCTAAACCATGAAATCCCTAAGTGTCCAAACTCGAGAAAACTTTTCCTAATGTTTCCTGCTTGAAATGGTTTAACAGTCTTATTTTTTTTTTTAAAAAAAGGGAATTCAGAGACACTCCTGCTGGGGTGAAAAGGAGAGCAGGTGTCGGAGCCCAGCCCAGCCCAGCCCAGGCAACCAGGGAGGAGACAGCAAGGCAGGGGTGTGTGTGGAATGAGGGACAGGCAGGAGGAAGAAGAGATGCCACAGAACGACATTGACTCAAGCTTCCAGGGAGCACTGGGCACAGAACCAGGCATTTAATCATCTCAGCAACAAGAAGGGGGGGAAACTGAGACACAGAGGTCAAGGAATTCACCAAGCTGCAAGTCTAAGTAAGTAGCCCAGCCAGCAGGGGCCAGGCCTGTGCCCAGGACTGAAGCCCTGTTGCTCTTTTTACTCTACCACAGGCCTGGCTCAGAATCCAAGAGCAGGAAATGCCAGGAGTCTGTGGGGAGACTCCCCAGGGCCCTCTCTATGAAGAAAGGGAACCCTGTGGTCCAGAGGGAAGTATGGGCCTGCCAGGACCCCAGGACTTACGCACAGACAGGATGGGTCGCTTCTCTGCCCGCTCGTAGTTGTCCCGGATGAGAACATCACTGTCTGAGGCTGTGGAGGAGTCGTCGTCTTCCTCCTCCTGGTAGGTGGTGGGATAGATGAGGAGGAGGGAGAAAAACAAGGGGAAAAAGAGGAGCACATCAAAACAAATACAAAATGTTAGCCAGGTATGGTGTCATGTGCCTGCAGTCCCAGCTACCTGGGAGGCTGAGACAGGAGGACCACCTGAGTCCATGAGGTTGAGGCTGCAGTAAGCTACAATTACAACACTGCACTCCAGCCTGGGTGACAGCGAGAGGAAAAAAAAAGAGGCACAAGTGACTGTCAAAAAAAAGAGGAGCAAGTAACTCTACAGAAAAGTCCTGGGACAATGGAGAACCTGCTTCCTTTGTTCTTTTTTTTGAGACGGAGTTTTGCTCTTGTTGCCTAGGCTGGAGTGCAATGGCGCAATCTTGGCTCACTGCAACCTCCGCCTCCTGGGTTCAAGAGATTCTCCTGCCTCAGCCTCCAGAGTAGCTGGGATTACAGGCGCCTACCACCACGCCCAGCTAATTTTTATATTTTTATTAGAGATGGGGTTTCATCATATTGGTCAGGCTGGTCTCTAACTCTTGACGTCAGGTAATTCACCTGCCTCAGCTTCCCAAAGTGCTAGGATTATAGGCGTGAGCCACCGTGCCTGGCCTCTTTCTTTTTTTGAGATGGAGTCTCATTCTGTCACCCAGGTTGGAGCGCAGTGGCATGATCTGAGCTCACTGCAACCTCTGCCTCCCAGGTTCGAGTAATTCTCGTGCCTCAGCCTCCTGAGTAGCAGGGTTTACAAGCATACACCATCACTCCCGGCTAACTTTTGTAGTTTTAGTAGAGATGGGGTTTCACCATGTTGCCCAGGCTGATCTTGAACTCCTTACTTCAAGTGATCCTCCCGCCTTGACCCCCCAAAGTGCTGGGATTACAGGCGTGAGCCCCCATGTCGGCCCATGTTCTTTTTTTCTGCACGGCATCTGTATGTGATTAGGAAGCTCTCAGCATATCTGTGCTGCCCTATTAGAAGCCGTGGAGGAACAAGTGACAGCACAGTTCCTGAGTAGGAAGGTTCCAAACAGCTGAGCTGGGTGCGGGTCAGAGCAGGAGGGCCTGAGGCTGAGACGGGAAAGTGGACGAGGTTCCATTTGTACTCTAACTTTAGGTGGCCATTAAGCTTCAGCTCTGGGACTGCACTCCTGGAGCAGCACCGTGGAGAGAGCCCGCCACGCACTGAGAGGAAAAGAACAGGCTTCTGAGACTGCCTCTGGGCTGGAGATGAGGGCAACACACATACCTTGTGGTTCTCCATCCTCTTCCAGCGGAGCTGCGCATTGGCTGCGGCCATGGCCTCTATCACAAAGGTGGTGGTCACAAAGCTGAGGGGGGCGCGTGCCCAGTGCCAAAGGCAGACAGGAAGTTGGAGGAGGCACAGAGAGAAGGGAAACACCATTGTAAGACACGCCAGACCCACCAGCCCAGAGCATTCTCTTTTCTGAGAGGTGTTCCTTAGAGATGGCCCTTACCTCATAACAAGGTGTGCGTGCTTCGATGTTGCTGTCTACAGTGAGAACGTATTTCCAGTGCACAAGAGAGAGGGGCATGAACTAAGTGATGGGAGGGAAACTACCCAAAAAAGAGAGGGAGCTGGGGGCAGAGGTGGTGCTGGGACAAGCCGAGCTGCACACCCAGGAGGGGCCGTGGTAGGGAGACGCCAAAGGATGCTCTGTGAAGGGAGGCTGGTTCACACAGGGCCCCCCAGCTTCTGGAAGGACAGCAGGCAGTTTTCACCTCACCTTGCAAGGACACAGGCAAGCGGTCACCTCCCAATTACATACTCGAATGGAAGGAGCGCAGGCATGGATAATTGGAAATGGGCACTTGGCTCCGGAATCCATCCCTTTTTTCTTTGGCAGTACTTTTTACTTTCCAAATAATCCGGCTAATATTAAAATAAGCTTGCACTTCTATGGCCTGATTCAAAAGGGAGATTGGGAGGTGGCATCGGATGCTTGCCAAGAAGTCAGACTAGACTGGAAAAATCATCTTTTCTTTTCCTCTTAAAGAAACTTGAGAGACCGAGATGACAGCTGGAATGCACGAATGCTTTTGTTAACGGAGGATACAGAAGTGGGCCGCCTTCCTGCTAATAAAACCTGAGGTATGAATCCATCTCTGCCATGGAACAGCGGGGGACGAACATTCATCTCCTGCTTTCTTGAGGCCAGGACAGCTCTGCCACCAGACTCACCCCTACCCCTCCCTGAGTGTTGACAGCTTGGGGGCTGACCGCTCAGCTCCGAGGTCAGGAGGGAGCCGAGTCGCTTGGCCCCACACCAGTTAGGACAAGGCTGACAAGCCACCCTGTGGTGGCGAAGGCCTTGGGCATGGTAAGCGCGCCTGTGCCCACGATGAGGTTAAACCAGTTAAACCCATACCTACTCCCATCCTGGGGGAGCAGCCAGCTCGGAAACCCCCATTCCAATCACCTCAGCACCTCCTAGAAAGGTTTCTCATGATCTTGCCTAAGTGACCATTTTAAGGGCTTTGGATTTACCCTTCTGTTTGGAAGTGAAATTAAAATCAATCTTAATTAAGGCATAGAGAGACTTCTCATGGTTGCTTGCACGAGGCCAACTCATTGATCATGTCCAAACACAAATGGGTTGAGCAAGGAGCGGGGTGTGGCACCCTCTACCTGAGAGCCCCCAAAGAACACTTCTCATTCGGATGGCTGCCTGCACTGAAGGTCCTTTAAAGGGGACAGCAGAGTCGTGTAAGGACACGCACTTCCAGAGCTCTTGGCTGCCAGGGCTCACAGTAGGTAATGAACCAGCAGTGCCCAAGATTCACCCTCAAAACTCCCCAAAAGAAATGCATGAAGAAACTGGAAACCATGGGCGTTTTCCTATCCCATTCAGCCTCTTGTATATCTTAGTTTGCGCCAACTACTAAGCTCCGTCTCATCCTTCCACCAGCACCCACTCCCTCCCCGTTGAGATCCTCACTTAGATGCAGCCCTCCCAAACGCTGCCTCCCCCAGCATCCTAGTCCCCGAGCCCTGCTTGGCCTTCCTCTTTCCACAGCACTTGCTGCCTTCCAGCTTACTCTTCAATTGACCCATTTCTTATGCTCACTGCTCACTGTCTGTCTCCACAGAACAAAGTCAAGTCTGCACAGGCAGGGATGTTTGTTGGTGAGGCTCCCTCAGTACCTGAAAGGGTGCTTGGTGTACAGATGTGGGAGTCGCCTCTCTCAGGAGAGGTGTTTCCAGGTGCTCCTTCCCATCTGTTTTCTGCAGCTTGTGGATTCCTACCTGGACTACAGAAGACTGTAATACCTTGTCTTTAATCCCTTCCGGGCTGGGGCACTGGCTGACAACTTCAGACCAGTCCCTACGTGTGCGGGAATCCCCGAGAAGAGCCTCAGGTAGAACCCACCCTCCCTGAAGCATCCGCTGGTGAGGCTCACACACCTGGTTCAAGGAGAAGGTGAAGGCCTGGGGAGGTACATGGCAGGCGAGTGCCACACTTGATCATGCCCAATGGCATGTGTTTATCACCTACTTTGTGAATTACCTTAAGCAAATTCTAAATTCCAAGCTGATTTCCATATTACCTTACATGTTTGTGAGATCCTTTTTCTGTGGCTGGGTGGTATTTTCTCAGACAGCAAAACTTGACGGTAATGTTAATAAAGCCTACATTTAATAGCAGGGGATATAAATCTGGGGAAGAAAGAGGCCAGCATCCTGTGAAATTCCAAAGCCTAGTGGATGTCCAGGTTTTTATCTGATCAGGGCTGTGCAGCCGCTCCACTAACATGAGCCACCAGGAGGCCTCTGTGACTACTGTCCCCTCTCTGACTACCCTGGCAAGGACTCATTGAGCTAAAGACAGGGTAGAGAGATGTCTCCCCACCCCTCAGTGCCCTCATGTTTGGGCCTCCTGGGCTGACTCCCTCCTGCTTCACTCTCAGCCCTGTGGGGAAGTCCCTGCTGCCTCTCACCTCATGAAGCCCAGGAACACCAGCAGGATGAGGCTGACAAGCCACCCGGCGGTGGCGAAGGCCTTGGGCATTGTGAGTGCGCCCGTGCCCACGATGAGGTTAAACATGTACACCAGCCCAACCTGGAACCGACAGAGGTGACATTCAAACCCAGAAATTAATCAACCTCTCCCCTTAACAGCTCCCAAGGAACGACCCTGGGTGACGACACCACTGTGGAGACCAGAAGGCCAGACTTGAGAGAGGGAAGCAGGCAGGACAGGAGAATCACACCTGGGGCCTAAGGAGCCAGGCTCTGCAACCACAGAGCCTGTTAACCAAACATTAACAGGTGGGTGACTCAAGCCCTGGGGTTCACGTCTCCACGATCAGTTTCAGTCTCTCTGCCTGCCATCATCACTGCCATCCCCTCCTAAAGCTGCATCGCAGATGTCAGCGCTCTGCTTTACCAGGCTGTAGGATTCCTGGGGACAGAGCAACATAGGTGGGGCACCTGGCACAAAGGTGAGCACATAATGCTGACCTCAAAGAAACACCCACTTTTCCAAGACCACTGAGCATATGACTCAAGGCTCCTCTTCACCCATCCTTGTCACTGTCCTTTGGGACACGGACATTCATGCTTCCCTTTCTCCATCCCTTTCCCCAGACCAATTTCAGGTTTTTTGAAAAAAACTGAGATACAATTCACATACCATAAAATCCACCCATTTAAAGTACACACATCAGTGGGTTTTAGTAATATTCACAAGGTTGTGCAACCAGCACCACCACCTAATTCCATTTTATCACCCTCCAAAAAAACCCATTTCTGTTAGCAGCTGCTCCCCATTCTTCCCTCACCCCCTTGCCCACCCAACTTCAGGGTGATTTCTCAGGTCACCAACTTCACGGTTTTTAGTTATTTATTTATTTTTTGAGACAGGGTCTCACTCTGTTGCCTAGGCTGGAGTGCAGTGGCATAATCTCGGCTCACTGCAACCTCTGCCTCCCAAGTTCAAGAGAGTCTCCTGCCTCAGCCTCCCAGGTAGCTGGGATTACAGATGTGTGCCACCACGCCCAGCTAATTTTTGTATTTTTAGTAGAGAAAGGGTTTCACCCTGTTGGTCAGGGTGGTCTCAAACTCCTGACCTCGTGATCAGCCCACCTCGGCCTCCCAAAGTGCTGGTATTACAGGCGTGAGCCACTGTGCCTGGCTGTTACTTCGGGTTTTAAACAACCCACAGTTACAATGATTCCCTTTCCAAGATCTCAGCCATGAGCTTCCTGTCTGGCCTGAGTCCCTGCCCTTCTGTGATGCTCTCCAGTCCCCCAGCCTCCTCCCCTGCCAATCCTCCCTTTTAGATAGAAGCCCACCCCTATTTTGGCATCAGCTGCTTCCTTTCCTGGTGCAGAGGGCTCCACCAAGCACATGCTTCCTTTCCTGGTGTATTTCTCTTAGTATCAAGCTTTCTGAAGACCTCAAGTCCAGCTGCCTGCTAGTCACCTACACTTAGACATCCCATCAGTGGCCCCATTCTCCTTCCTTCCCCTCCAGATCACAGTACTAGTGATTTGATTTCTGGAACTTCTTTTGTGGCTAACTCTGGCTCCTATCCTTATTTACAATTCAAATTAATCTTTCTGGCCTGGACTGGTGCAGTAGACTCCTAACTTGTCTTCCTATATCCTGCTAAACTGGGTGACTTACCGTATGCTTTACCACCTGTTTCTGATCATTAAAAAAGACAAACACCTCATCTCTGGGAATGCTTACCCATCTCTCATTTTCACTTCCTGTTCTTAGAAAGATGTGCTTTTCTCTATTTTAAAGCTTTTCTAAGACAGCCATGCTGAATTTGTGATCAAAAACACACAAATTGGTGCCTATTCTCCCAGACTCAGTTATTTTTTTTTTTAAAGCATGAGCATGAATAGACCAGGCGCAGTGGCTCACGCCTATAATCCCAGCACTTTGGGAGGCCAAGGTGAGCAGATCACCTGAGGTCAGTAGCTCAAGACAAGCCTGTCCAACATGGTGAAACCACATCTCTACTAAAAATACAAAAATTAGTCAGGCAGTGGCGTATGTCTGTAATCCCAGCTAGTCAGGAGGCTGAGGCAGGAGAATGGCTTGAATCCAGAAGGCAGAGGTTGCAGTGAGCCGAGATCACGCCACTGTACTCCAGCTTGGGTAAGAGAGGAAGACTCCATTTCAAAAAAAAAAAAAAAAAAGCATGGAGAAATAGAAATGGATAACTTCTGCCTTGGGGCTGTTGGCTGGGGGAAGGCGGGGCTGGGCAGTGGTTAGAGAGGACAGGCTCCCCAGCAGGTGCTAACTGGACATCTGAGAGCAAGACAAATGAGAGGACCCCTTGTGGAGAGGAAAGCACTCTGCCTGCAGTACCTCAACACCTGGCACAGGACCTAAGCCCTCTGGCGCCACCTCCCCAGCCCCTCAGTTTCTACCCAGCCTTCAGGGCACATTCCAATGCAACTTCTACTGCAAAGTCCTTCCCAGGCTCCCACAGTTGTCTTGCCTCCCACCTTTGAATCCTTGTGGCAATAACACTTCTTTTTTTTTTTTTCAAGAGAATTAAATCGTTTATTGATTACACATGATAATGGATGATACACAAGCTTCATTCCCATCTATAATTTTATCTGGTACCATTATTCAATTTAGATATATTGCATAGGATGTGCCAACAATCATCTTTATAACCAATAATTCCATGATTTTTGCTTGGGTAATTCCTTTTAATCGTGAACTTCAGGTCACAACACTAACTATTAGTTCAGCTACACCAAGGTTTCTGAAGACATTGGCTTCTCCACCCAAGCATGTTGTATATAAATTCCAAATAGAACCTGGCATCACCCTGAAGAAATTCTAACTTCACACTGTTGGGGAAATTTACCAAGATGGCTTCAGAGTAGACTAACTTTACATAGCACATTAAAAAAAAAGACATTTATTCAGCGTCACGATCAGACTATTACATTTAGCAATCAACAGCATGGGTGCAAAAAAAAAAAAAAGAAAAAGAAAAAGAAAAAATCTACATTAAAACCCTTTGTTGGAATGCTTTACACTTTCCACAGAACAGAAACTAAAATAACCTGTTATACAATTAGTCACAAATACAGTCCTCGAGTTTTTTGCCCATACACATGAGTATTTGTCTAAATCATGTCTTCTTTGTAGCAGCTAGGCCCTGCCACCACTGCTTGGCTGAGTTCACAAATCTGTTGTAACCTGTAGCTTCCCTGTCACTTCTCTGGCTCTCCTCTCCTGCTAAGCTTTGTTTCCTAATTAAAATCTTCTGCCACTGCCATAGCTGCTGCTGCTACTGGAACCGCCATAGCCACCTTGGTTTCGTGGTTTGGCAAAGTATTGGCCGCCACCACCATAGGGGCCAGAGCTTCTGCCTCCAAAGTTTCCTCCCTTCATGGGTCCAAAATTTGAAGACTGATTGTTGTAACTGCCAAAATCATTGTAGCTTCCACCACCTCCAAAATTGCCTCCACTACCACCGCCAAAGCCGCCTCCGCCTCCGTTGTTATAGCTGTCATAGCTGCCACTCCCGCCATAGCCACTGCCCTGGTTTCCATAACCCTGTCCACCACTTCCATAGCCTCTGCTTCCTCCAGAGTAACCAGGGCCGCCTCCTCCATAACCACCATCATTACCAAATCCATTATAGCCCTCCCCACTGCCACCATATCTGCCACCACCACGGCTGCCACCAAAGCCACCACGACCACTGAAATTTCCTCCACGACCTAAGTTGTCATTCCCACGGAAACCACCTCCACGACCACCAAAGATTCCAGAACCACTTCGACCTCTTTGGCTGTATGAAGCACTAGCCATCTCTTGCTTTGACAGGGCTTTCCTAACTTCACAGTTGTGGCCATTCACAGTATGGTATTTCTGAATGACAATCTTATCCACGGAGTCATGGGCATCAAAGGTTGCAAAGGCAAAGCCCCTTTTCTTGCCACTGCCTCTGTCCGTCATGATTTCAATCACTTTAATTTTTCCATACTGTTCAAAATAATCTTAGGTGATGTTCTTCAGTGTCTTCTTTAATGCCACCAACGAATTTTTTTTTTCACAGTTAAGTGGGCACCTGGTCTTTGAGAATCTTCTCTTGAGACAGCTCTCTTTGGTTCCACAACTCTTCCATCCACTTTGTGTGGCCTTGCATTCATGGCTGGATCCACCTCCTCCACAGTTGCATACGTGACGAACCCAAAGCCCCTGGAGCGCTTGGTGTTTGGATCTCTCATGACCACACAGTCTGTGAGCGTTCCCCATTGCTCAAAATGGCTCCTGAGGCTCTCATCGGTTGTTTCAAAGCTCAACCCTCCAATGAAGAGCTTCCTCAGCTGTTCCAGCTCTTTAGGAGACTCTAACTTAAGACATGATCGCGGGGAGAAGAGAGACTTTAACGATGCTGCTTCGGCGGCGTCCACGGGCAGAAAGCGGCAATAACACTTCTTATGCCTGCTCTTGGGTTTCAGATATTGGCATAGTTCTCTTTTCCCTGTTGCTAAATATGAAGCTCACTGTGACCGTGGGCTGCATCTCACTTCTCTCTGCATTTCTCAGGGTGCCTGGCACACAGCCTGAAGATGGGAACACTCAGCGGACCTCACTGGACCTCCCTTGGGTTATATCTGATGTGAGCCTGAGAGTTTTCATCATCCAGTTTTGGACATCACAATCTCAATTTTTTTGTTTTTGAGATGGAGATGCTCTGTCACCCAAGCAGGAGTGCAGTGGTGTGATCTCGGCTCGCCGCAACCTCTGCCTCCCAGATTCAAGTGATTCTCCTGCCTTAGCCTCTGGAGTAGCTGGGATTACAGGCACCCACCACCACACCTGGCTAAGTTTTGAAGTTTTAGCAGAGACGGGGTTTCACCATGTTGGCCAGGCTGGTCTCGAACCCTTGACCTTAAGTGATCTGCCCACCTCGGCCTCCCACCATGCCCACCCTATAATCTCAATTTGATCTCACAGACAAATCCCAGAAGGATGAAAGCAAATCTGAATCATCTTCCTACTGCCTTGGTTGGATCACAGCATCATCATGATATGATTCCCCTCTGGGAGTCCTGGCTCAGAGCGGTGCTGCTAGAATAACTGAGGGCAGCAGCTGGGTGAGACATGGGACACACAGCCCACTGCTGGTCTTCTGAATGGCTTGTCACAGTTTGACTGTGAATGTCTGTAACAAGCTCATTTTTACTTTTGCTGAGGTTAATTTTAATCTCTGGCACTTCCATGCTCATGTGTACAAGGGTAGGAATGGGCCATGTAGCTAGCTCAGTTCTGTTGGTTTATTCAACCAACAAGAGCCTTCTGCAAACTGGGCCCTGTGCTTGGAGCTGAGAATATGATGATAAACCAGACAGATACAGCCCTTGACCTCATGGAGCTACGTTCTAACGGGGAGACAGACAGCAATAAAACAACTACAGGCCGGGTATGGTGGCTCACACCTACAATCCTAGCACTTTGGAAGGCTGAAGTGGGTGTACTGCCTGAAGAGTTCGAGACTAGTCTGGGCAACGTAGTAAAACTCCATCTCTACTAAAATACAAAAAAAAAAAAAAATTAGCTAGGTATGGTGGTCCATGCCTGTAATCCCAGCTAGTCAGGAGGCTGAGGCATGAGAATTACTTGAACTCAGGAGGTGGAGGTTGCAGTGAGCCGAGATCCTACCACTGCACTCCAGCCAGGGAAGAAAACAACTACGGTTACAGCTTGAGAGAGGTGTGGTGAAGCAGAGTCAGGGCGCTGTGAGAAGACGCAGTGGAAAAGCATTGGAAACAGTGGGTAGCCCAGGAAGGGACCTGGAGGATGAGAAGGCACTGCCCAGGCAAGAAATGAGAGAGACAATTCCTGGTCCAGAGGCCTACGGTGGGAAAGAGGCAGGCAGGCTCTGGGAGCTTTCAGAAGGCCTGTGTGGCTGAAGCACAGCAAGTCAGGCAGGGGTGGGGCTGGAAGAGGCTGCAGTCAGACTGTGCAGAGCCCTTTTGGACGGGACAGGGGAGTGGATGTTTTGGAGCATTTTAAGCAGGCTGCTAACAGAATAGACCACAGTGGACAACCTAATGTCTGTCCTCCCTGCAGCTCTGTTATTGCTTCTATTAGCAGTAATACTTAGGAAGGGATAAAAACTACTTCTTTATGGAGAATGATGTTCCCATAATGGAAGAAAAGAGTAAGCAGAGAGGCATAAGAAAGTGATAGTTCTAGGCTAGGTATGGTGGCTCGTGCCTGTGATCCCAGCACTCCTAAGGTGGGAGGATGGCTTGAGTCCAGGAGTTCGATACCAGCCTAGTCAATGTAGCAAGACTCTGACTCTAAAAAATAAAAAATATTGGCTGGGCCAGTGGCTCACCTTGTAATCCCAGCACTTTGGTAGGCCAAGGTGGGCAGATCACGAGGTCAGGAGTTTGAGACCAGCCTGGCCAACATAGTGAAACCCCATCTCTACTAAAAATTAAAAAATTAGCTGGGTATGGTGGCAGGCACCTGTAATCCCAGCTACTTGAGAGGCTGAGGCAGAACTGCTTGAACCCGGGAGGTGGGGGTTGCAGTGAGCTGAGATCAGGCCACTGCACTCCAGCCTGGCAACAAAGCTAGACTCTGTCTCAAAAAAAAAAAAAGAGCTGGGCATGGTGGTGGGTGCTTGTAATCCGAGCTACTTGGGAGGCTGAGGCAGGAGAATCACTTGAACCCAGGGTGCAGAGGTTGTGATGATCCGAGATCATGCCATTGCACTCCAGCCTGGGCAACAAGAGCAAAACTCTGTCTCAAAAAAAAAAAGAACTTTACAAAGAAATGAATGGAGAGATGAAGAGAGAAACTATTGGCAGTTGGGAGCAGAGATGGGTAATTGCAGTTGGTTTGCTTTGTTGCAATTTTTTCAGTTCCAAAGCAAGCCCTGTGTGCTTACTGGGGGCTTCAGGGAATCCTGCAGGGTAATGTAGGCCCTCTCTGTCTTCTGAGGACTTCCGTAGTCCTGGCGAGCATTCCATCCTCTTTACCTTCTATAAAGGTAATCAGTAAGGGCCAATCACAAGGAGGAGACACAGAGGCAGGAAGCAAATCTGGGCTGAGCCATAGGCTGGGTCAAGAGAGGCTGTTGGTAAGGAAGAGAAAGGAGAAGTTCTCTTCTACTGGACATGGGACAGTTCTGTGGGCCAGACTGTAGGCAAGTAGGGGCAGAAAGTTGTCTAATAGGCTCTACTGCAGTCTCGATAATGAGGACCAATGCATGCAGCCTAAACTGAGTTTCCTCCAATTCTCAGCTCTTCCTCTGTGGCTGCACTGGAGGAGGCACGGTCCCTGTTGGCCTGCTCCCCTATGCTCTAGAGAGCTCAGTGCAGTAACCCGCCTGCCTCACCTCCACCCAGCAGCCTCACCCGTGACCTTCATGGGGCAGACGTCACCAGTATCTTTTTTCAACGGCTTCCCCCGACAGTTGTCAAAGGAAACAGAAGGCAGCAAAGATGTGGAAGCAATGACTAGGATTTCAGGGTGTGAAACAAGCGCTCTCTCCTTCGAAAGCAACCGCAACCATCTTTAGCAGGAACCAGCGGGCAGAGGCACCCTCGGCGCTGACCCTTCGGGTAAGGCGCAACCTACAGCATCCTGTGTTTTGATCACACAGCAACTACTTGAGTCCTGTGTCACTCCCGGTCCTCATAAATGGTCCTCAAACAGACATGCCTGTCCTGAGATCCCTTATGGGTACATGTACCTGTCTGAACCATGTTCCTATGTTCAGCACTATCCTTGAGAGGGTGTGACATCTGAGCCACCCAGGAGGCTCATCCACTTGATGAGGAAATATTTTAGGAAGAATCATTCAAACTAAAGCAAACATCCTTGGAATTCCTGGAGGGGAAAAGAACTCACAATGAATGGGGCAATAAAGAGCTAAGGAGAGGCTTTGTCTTGTCAATGACCATGGGCTGAAGCACATGTATGAATTATATCCTGGTGTCTTGGTTTCCCAAGGCAGCCAGAGCAGAGTTCTGCCCACATTGTCTTGAGCTGGGGCCTGCAGGGGAATTCAGAGCAGCATCAGCAGTGAGTTAGTTCCACAGCTTATTTGGGCTCAGTGACAACAAACTCTTCTGGTCTTACAGAGGACCAAGAATTGTTCCAGGATAGGGGAGTTAAGGAACGCTTAGGAAGAAGGTGTCTTCTCCCCTCAGAACTCTGACTACTACCCCCTGGGTGACACCACATCATCCCCACCACCCCCCATCTCCTCCCTACATCTCTCTTCACCAGTAGCATAAAAGAACACAAGCACTTGTTTATGGCCAATGCCCAGAGCTGGCCCTCTGGGCAACAAAGACCCTGAAAGAAATAAAACACGTAGGAAATGGACAACAAAAAAGAGCAGAGCGCACTGAAGCTTGCAGGCCTCGCTGCCTGGTTTCCTGTAGGCACATGCTGACATGTGAAATGATCCCTTGAACAACTGTAGACACAAGAAATGGGACATGTCAAAGTGTTTTTCTTACAAAACTTATAGAGATGACTCATTTCCTTATCTCTAAGTTTATAGATGTTGTAAGAAAAAGCAGGAACTGTGGTGACTTTTCTATTAACAGACAGCATGGACATTTCATCGCTGACAGCAAGAAGCTGGGAGCTGTTACACAAATCCACAAATGAGAGGGACACCATTCATTCCATTCCAGGGTTCATGGAAGATTTCCCCTGCGAAATTACAGAGATGAAGGAGTCTCCTTTAAGTGTCTTGAAGACACTTCCTTGTCCATCATACCACAGTACTAGGCTGTGAAGCTAGCAGAAACAGCACAGGGATCCCCAGGCGAGGAAGTTATGTACAAGGCAGGGCAGCTTGTTTAAGGCAGGGCAGTTCTAGAAAGATGCAGTGCTGCTTTTGCCTGGGATACTTGGTAGCAACCTGAGTCAACCATCTGATTATTCCCACCCTCCAGCTACTTATCCAGGCAAGAGGGCCCTGTGATATAATAACCATGACCAATCCTATGTCACATAGAGAAGATAAACTGAGTGTGTGAGGGGCAGTGAAAGGTAACACAGACCTAACACAGTGAGAATCAATCATTCTAATTGTTCTAATTGCAGAGTCCACCAAAGTGTAATTAGAAGTCTCTGCATGCCTTTGCTGCCTCTTAGGCCATCCAAGACTATCAAAGTTGTGCAATTTAAAATTCAGTAAAGACCAAAGTGGTTTCAAACTGCTGAGATGAGCAAAACCCATAGTCAACAGTTGTCAATCACTCTTCACCTGAAGGGAAGCACTCAAGGCAAGTGGGGGTAGCCTTGAGATTAACATTATTTATTTATTTTTGAGATCGAGTTTCACTCTTGTTGCCCAGGCTAGTGTGCAATGGCTTGATCTCAGCTCACTGCAACCTCTGTCTCCCTGGTTCAAGTCCTTTTCCTGCTTCGGCCTCCGAGTGGCTGGGATCTCAGGCGCTTGCTTGCCACAACGCCTGGCTAATTTTGTATTTTTAGTAGAGACAGGGTTTTACCATGTTGGCAAGGCTGGTCTTGAACCCCTGACCTCAGGTGATCTCTGTTGGAATTACAGACGTGAGCCACAGCGCACGGCCCGAGATTAACATTATAAACAGCACGGTAATTTTGTTTGGCTTGACTAACTCTGACAAAAACCTTAAAAAGAAAATAAACCTGACTTGCATTCTAAGCCACCACAGCAGCAGTGTAGCTGCTGCCTCATGGAACTCCCTTATCCTGCTTTCTCCAGAGACTGCTCAAGCATCAAGCACTCACTAGTCCTATCCCCATGAAGCAGCGTGCTTCTCTAGAAGCCAGGAGTACTTCAGTGAGCAAAAGGTTCCGTAAGTCACACTCACGTAGGAAGAGTAGAGTTCCCCGGTCTCTGTAATTTCACCCGCCATTTCCAAAACTGAGGAAGGGCTGGCAGCAGAGGTTCCTTAGGTACAGGGGCGGCGGCTGCTGCAGCTCCTTAAAACAAAAGAGCAGACTTCACCTAACTGATGGACTGAGAAAGGGGTAGGAGGAGGCTTGCAGACTTTCTCCACCACCTCTTTTATCACAGACACTTAGGGCCTCAGTATCTGTCACAAAACTCATCCCCGAGGGAGGGGTCACCCTGGATGACAGCAATCTGGACGATGTCTTCTAACTTTTCCCTTGCTGTGCAGGGCACTACTCTGTGCGCAGCACAGATATTTGCAATGCTGCTCGGAGTGCAAGTGATTTAAGGCGCCTCTAAAGCCACGAAGTTTCACCCACCATAAGAGCACCCTTTCCAGGCTCTGGGGTGGTTTTACCCATTTATTTCCAGGAACCGGGAGCTCACTACCACAAAGGGGAGCCCAAGGAACTGTCTGCTACCTCTGCCTAAGGCAGGGAGCTGGAGGCTTTCCTACGCTGCCCCTCCAACCCTACTCCTGGCCCTAAGGCCTCCTCTTTTTAGCGGGGCCTCCACTCCCTGCCTCCACCTGCTTTCTTAAGGGTCCCCACCCTCAAAGCTCCCTCTCTTCTCAAGAACCCCACTCCCAATCTCTCCCTCTCCCTCCCACCTGGAGGAGTCCCGAGTCTGGCACTGCCCCGCCCCGCCCCAACCTATCCCGTTTTGTCCCCTCCCGCCCGGCCGGAACCGATACCTCCAGCACAGCCTGCTCCCAAGCCGCCGCTTCCCGCCCGTCGGCTGCTGCCGGCGCCAGCTGTCCCGCACCAGCGCCCGTACCGCGCTTGCGTCGGCCCCGCAGCCCACCTTCTTCACGCTTGCTGATTGGGAGCCACGCGGGGGCGGGACCGGGATTGGGGCCTGGCGGCTGCCGTCAGCATGGCGGAAGTAGGTGGGGCGCGCCCCCACACGCATGCGGGAGCCGAGCCTGGGAGCATGGCAGGTTGGAGGAGGTGGATCACCGCTTCTGCAGTGGACGCTTTTGTCGGCGGTGGGTGGGTGTGAGCTTGGCAGTGCCCGGGTCCCCGTGGTTGGAGGGTCGAGGATAGTGGCCTAGAACGCCACTCAAAGAGGAGGGCCTGAAACTAAGCCCGCCTTGCCCTTCAGTGGTCGGGGGCGGGGAGGAGGGAGTGGCCAGAACCCAGTCAGGTGGTCGCCTGGGTGAGAGGTTGGAAACAGGTTTCAGACAGGGCTGAAAGTTGATTCTCGGTTGAAATTCCTGGACGAGGCAAACAATGCGAGCTCTGGGGATAAGTCTTGGTACTTGGTGCTTGGGTTTTAGGAATCGACATTCTGCGGAGCGGACGGAAAGAACCGGCAAAAACGGAGTCCATACTTGGTTCCTTGGGGTGAGAATCAAGGATTGTTTAATTATCCTTAACCAGCCCGGTTCTCTTTCTTGCAAGAATTTTACAGTCCGAGTTCTCTGAAGTGTCTGAAAGGAAAGAAGGGCGGAAGTCAACTTAGCCCCAGCAGGTGAGCCAGAGCTCCCACCCAAAGTGGGAGAAAATTCAGGGTCCTGAAGTCCTTGCTCTCCCTATCTGCATGCAGGCTGCCACCATGAGGTTGAATCAGAACACCTTGCTGCTGGGGAAGAAGGTGGTCCTTGTACCTTACACCTCAGAGCATGTGCCCAGGTATTTCCCGCTTGACGTGGGGTGCATATCAGCCCCAGAGCTATGTAAGGCACAGCGAGGAGCCTTCTTTAGCCCCAGTCTCAGGGCTTTTTTCCCTAAGAAGGAACATTCGTTGTGAGAAGTAATTATATATGAGGAAAAAAAAAAAATTAGTGCGGTGGCTCACGCCTGTAATCCCAACACTTTGGGAGGCTTGAGGCAGGAGAATCGCTTGAGCGCCGGAGTTTGAGACCTAGCGAGACCTCATCTCTGCAGAAAATACAAAAATTAGCCAGGCGTGCATAGCTGTAGTCCCAGCCACTAGGGAGGCTGAGATGGGAGGATTGCTTGAGCCCAGGAGACGAAGACTGCAGTGAGCTCTGATTGCACCACTGTACTCCAGCCTGGGTGACAGAACATGAGCCAAAAAAAAAAAAAAAAAAAAAAAAAATAGCAGAAGCTGGGGATTGTGACTTCTCTGGAAGAAGCTGCTCATCCTCTTTTTCCCTTTCTTTCTCTCAGCTTTCCTTTGGCCTTTCAGCAAGGAATTACTTTATGTAAACTAAATGTGTCAGGAAAAGAAATTATCATCTCACCCAAGTGTCAATTAGTGATGTTTCCCTGGTGCCAGTGAATATGTTCAGTTCTTGGAGTCTTAATGTTAGCTTGTCCTTAAACTCTGAGCTGATGAGTTATGGTATCTACCATTCGAAAGGTCAGGACTGAGTCATGATGGGATTCTTGTGGGGGGTGTTGGCACATGTCTGGCAGATTGGGATGGTGGTGCTGTAGATGGGGATTCTCTACTTGTAGTTTTCCTTTTGACGTTTCTTGGTGCCCTAACTTTGTGGGGATCTGTCCAGCTGCCTTCCTTGAGGTCCGCTTGCCATATACTTCCCCTTTTGGAATTTGAAGAATGTTTGGTTTCAGACTGCTCCTCCGCACTGACCCGAGACAGGATAGGAAGTTGGACAGATAGAACCGACTCCTACTGCTGTTCTTGTGTAAAACTAGCGTGCTTCTGGGTCTTGTGCTTGTGGCCCCCACCTTAGGAGCAATCATAACTCTTTGAGTCTTTGAGCCCTGTGTTAGTCCTGTGGAGTTCTGGACCCTCACATTACGTGTCAGACGTATGCCTTTGAATGAGTCCTGCATGTCTAAGGCCACCCCTGTCCCAGCAGATACCACGAGTGGATGAAATCAGAGGAGCTGCAGCGTTTGACAGCCTCAGAGCCGCTGAGCCTGGAGCAGGAGTATGCCATGCAGCGCAGCTGGCGGGAAGATGCAGATAGTAAGGAGTGCCTCCTGTTTCCCGCAGCCCTGGTTCTGGGATAGCGATTCCATAGGCAGTCTCCACGTTCCCTTTCTTTCTCAGCCCTAGCCACAGAAGCTTTGTGAAAAGCCTAGAAGGTGCTGGAACTCTGGGATTCTCATGGCCCCTGAAGCAATTCCCTGTGGCTGACCCTTCTGTCCTCTTCCCCACCTGTTGCATCAGGCTTGGAAGGATGTAGAGAAAGTAGAACATTTGGGGCTCTGCCTGTAAATTTAGGCCCTGCCCCTCACATCCCTTACCACAGCCTAGTGTGGTGACTGTCCTCCTGTGTGTTCCCTGCTCTCTGAGAATTTGGTTGCTGGTTGGAGAGGCTGTCTTTTTCTGTATGAGGCAAATTTGGAGTTTTGTAATGAGCTGAAGCAAGCTCTGGAACCCCCTCTTCTCCTGGCAGACTTAGAGATGCTGGTGTTGTACACTGCTCTGGCTTAGGTAGGAGCACTGTCCTCTCCTCTCTCCTCTGGAGTGTGTGCGCGGTAACTCTGTTGCCTCCTCCTCAGAGTGTACCTTCATTGTGCTGGATGCCGAGAAGTGGCAGGCCCAGCCAGGCACCACTGAAGAGAGTTGCATGGTGGGAGATGTGAACCTCTTCCTCACAGATCTAGAAGACCCCACCTTGGGGGAGATCGAGGTCATGATTGCAGGTTTGTTTCACCTAGCCCTGCCTGGCTGTCAGATCTGCTGACCCGAGCCTGCTGAGGCCACATAGGGTGGGCACTCATGGGGCTCACTGGGAGACTCCATGTTGGTGAGCCCAGGGCCTGGCTGGGCAGCCAACCCCCCTAACCCCCCTCAGCCTGGTGGTACACCCCTGGGTTTGTCACTGTTCTCCTTATGCTTAGGTGTGAACTTAACCTTTGGTTTGGGGTAGGTTCAAGGATAGTGAGTGCCATACTTGGGGTGGGCTGGGCACCCTCTTAAAATAAATGGTCTTCCCTGGAACATCTTGTCATATTACGGGAGGAGCCCCTCCTGTTTCTGTTCCTTCTTGGTCCTCAGTTTCCCCCAAGTAGCTACTGACTATGCCCATGAGCTGTCTCCCTGAGGTGAAGGGGGTCAGCTTTGAGGTCAGGTTGCTGGGTTGCAAGCTGTGAGGCCTGGGCCGAGTTGCACTTCTCTGTGCCTGTTTCCTCATCTGCAGAATGGTGATGACAGTAGCAACTTCAGAGTTGCTGAGAATTAAATGAGATGGTTGGTATCTGTCAAGCGCACACACTGGAGCCTGGCACAGGGCATCAGTGCTGTTCCTGTTGTTTCTCCTAGAGCCCAGCTTCAGGGGTAAGGGCCTTGGCACTGAGGCTGTTCTTATGATGCTGTCTTATGGTAAGAAAGTGTGGGCAGACAATGTGGGATGTGGCCAGGCCCTGGGTGAACCTTCTTCAGGTCTGAGGGTGGGGGCAGGTGACAGGTTCCTCCTCTGCAGCTTGGGACAGGGTGGGTGGGGGTAGGTACCTCCTTACTTGCCCCTCTCTCATCTCCTCTGTGAGGAGTGACCAGACTAGATCTGACCAAGTTTGAGGCTAAAATTGGGCAAGGAAATGAACCAAGCATCCGAATGTTCCAGAAACTTCACTTTGAGCAGGTAAGGATGTTGTTGGGCAGAGTGAAGCCTAGATTGGGTGGTGGGCCGGGTGGTGTTAGAACTGTAACTCATTTATTTAAACTTTTTTTCCGATGTTTTTACCCTATTTCCTCAGTTTTCCCTAAAGAACAGAACTGTACCTCTTAGCAGGCTTGGTTCTCTCTGGCTCATGTAGGTGGCTGTGAGCAGCGTTTTCCAGGAGGTGACGCTCAGACTGACAATAAGTGAGTCTGAGCATGAGTGGCTTCTGGAGCAGACCAGCCATGTGGAAGAGAAGCCCTACAGAGATGGGTCGGCAGAGCCCTGCTAATGGCTGGGTCCTGTGAGCAGCCAACCTTGTGAGCAGGGTGTTGAGGCCACACCCTCCAAAGACCAGAGCCCAGCACTGGGAGAGTGCTCCTGGCTCAGCCTCAGGCTGGGAATCACCCTTTGAAATCCCCCTGTGGCCTCCCTCCAGCTGGTGGTGTGGCAGAGCAGAGCAGACACCAGGGCCAGTCCCCTTCTCCCCTCCTGGCCAAACCCAGACTGTAGGAGACTGGAAGGGAGGGCAAGAATCCACAGGAGATGTCAGGATGAAGGTGGGAGCTGGAGGTGCAGGGGGCCTGGAGCATGGTTGGGAGTGGACAGGCCTTTTCCCTTAGAGGCCAGAGGTACTGCCCTGACAGGGAGTGAAGCTCCAGGCACAGCCAGCTTTCCTTGTTTTCCCATTTGGTTCGTGTGAAGAGCTACCAGGAGGCCCAGCCTCACAGTGTCCGGTCAAGGGCAGCTCGGTCTTCTTGTCCTGCAGAAGCAGGCTGGTGTGACCCACCTGGGAACAACAGGTGGTCCAGAGAGAGTGGCCTGGCCCCTCAACCTAGCGTCCCTCCTCCTCCTCCTCCAGCCAGTCTTAAGTTTAGAGGCATTAGTTTGGATACAGCTCCTTGTGACTGGAGAACACTCCTCTGTTGATGAAGCTCAGGGTCACTGAGGAAGCAGAGGCCCCTCTGGGGTGCCCTCCTGAAGAGGAGAGCGTCAGGCTATCAGCTCTGTTCCTCCGGCATTCCCAGGTCCGCTCCTCATGCTCTGCCTCTGTGAGCAGCTGCACCTGATCAGGCCACGTGGGGGCAGTGGAGGCACAGGCTCAAGGTGGCCAGGCTACCTGGGACCCGTGGCTTACAAAGTAGAGCTGGGCCAGTCTCCCCGCCCTGACGGGGGGCACTTTGACTCCTAACAGTCTTCCATGCCCTGCCATCATCTGGGGTGGCTGTCAAGAAAGGCCAAGCATGCTTTCAAAGCACAGCCACAGGAGGAGGCTTGCAGGGCAT